ATATTTTATATATTTAAAGCGAGTTTTTTGGGCAGTGTAGAGTAGGGCTTGTTGTTTGTCATTTCTCCGATCACAAATGCAGACATGGTTTTATGTTTACGCAGCACGATGCAACACAACGTGTAAAAAGACAGTATAAGTCATTATAATCCGTAATTATGTCCCCACTGGATGCAACAAATGGCTCGTTTATAAGGGGTTTTAATGTTTTTGTCTCGTCGCTCCGGCCGGGTCATGGCATCACAGTATGGTAAGGGGCGTAACATTTCTGTCAGATGCTTGAGGTATTTGGGCCAATCACAACGCACTGGATAGCTGGCCAATCAGAGCACATCTCGCTTTTCAGACTGATGAGCTTTGTAAAAATCGACGTGTTTCAGAAAGGCGGGGCATAGAGGAGAAACAATAATGTACAGTATGTGGAAAATAATGTGTTTTTTTAACCTTGAACAGCGTAAGCACATTAAATTACACCAAATACACCAAATAATGTTATATTTAGCAACATCATATGACCCCTTTAAAGCATGCAATCTGAAAAGTATGAATTTATTAAAAAAAAAAAAACTTTTTGAACTGTAGTGCAAGTCTGTCACACAAACAAATACTATAAATTGTATTTCATTTAGACTTGGAATATAGTTCATAGGTGCTACTTTTACTTTTTTCGCTCTTCACAATATTTTCCTTTCTGTTCCTCTGAACAAAGTAAGTCATACACATTTTTTATTTAAGTGTTATATCTCTCTCAGACTCTGATTTACTTGTGAATCACTCTGGAAGCTCTTATTCTTCTGCTCTAAGCATCTCCTGATGCCTGGGATAATTTTAAAGAGCAGTCTTAACTGTCTAAAGTCTGTCCACCTGAATAGTTTGAATATAAAGTAGTCATATTAATCTTTTTAACTCCACACTTCAACAACATTCTTGAACTTTGAAGCTTTGAAGTAACATTTCCTTTACACTGGAAAAAAAAAGCTTTTCCTCATCGGCCTGAATCCTCTTTAAATAGCGGCCCATTCCATGTCTTTTCTGCATCGCGTCTACTTTGTTCTGACAAGAGGCTGATCGGTTGGTGGCCCGGTTCTCTCTGGCTCTGAAGTGCTTCTGAGAGCTGCAGGTGAGGGATTTTGCTATAGTCACAGCAAATCTGTCTGATATTAGTGTGGGTGAGAGGTGGCATTTTCCCCACACTTCCTGCCCATGTGTACGAGGAGGCTGGCATTTCACACGAGTGGAAATGTGCAATCATTGCTTGAGAGGATGGCTAATCGGATTGCCTTGTTTGAGACAAGAGTGTCTTTTATTACGTCCATGTAAAAGCAGATGGAAAGCATTTCATTGTCTGTGTGAGAGTTGACTCGTTCAGTATTTGAAATGTAAACTCTGAGTGCCAGTCGGATATTTTCCCAGGTGTCATTTCCTCTGTTTTTATAGTCGGTGAGTCAGTGGGCAAGTGTGAGTCAGTTTGAAAAGCTACTTATTTAGATGATTCCTGAAAACCTTTTAGATCTGTCATTGTGGACACAATGTAATCTCAGGACAGTCTCGGTTACAATCAGTCATTATTATTACTGCGTTTATGGAAGCGACCAAAAATACAGTAAAAACAATAATATTTGAAATTATTAGAGCATATTAAAATGATTTCTGAAGAATCAAGTGACAATGAAGACTGGCGTAATGACTGCTCAAAATTGAGCTTTGCCATCACAGGTATAAATAAAGTATTAAAATATATTAGAATAAGAAACAGTTATATAAGTTTGCAATAATATTTCAATATTTCTGTTTTACTGTATTTTTGATCAAATAAATGCAGCCTTGGTAAGCATATGAGTATATATTACAAATTAATTATTGTTTAGTTATTTTAATTCCATGGTTTCATTTTAACAAGCTTCCTTACCATTATATGAATTCTATTAAAGGAATGGTTCACACAAAATGAAAATCCTGTCATGATTTGCTATCATTTTAAGACAAAAACAAAATGTTGACACTAATCATCCCTTAATTGCAATTAATGATTCCACCCCCCCCCCACACACACACAAACATGCACCTGGGTATTTCTTTCATTCTCCTATCACTCTTTAATAAAATCTCAATGTGTTCTCAATTCTAATTATCCAACAGTGATTTCAAATTAAATACACTCCCTATGGTTCATCTAATCATATCTCTTTACACCGATTTTTTTTGGGTTGCTGTATCCTTACGTCACACCGCAGGGCACCCCCTCTCACAAAATCACCCCCTTCGGCCATCAAAAATCACCTAAAATAACAAAAACTACCCTAAAATCACTTCCCCATCTACTCGTCGTTCTGCTTTCTGGCTGAACCTATCCTTCCATTTGCCCTCATTTCCCCTCTCCCACTGGCCCAAAACAGGGCGATTGCCTGCCCCATCTAAAAGCAGCTGTTATTGTCCAGCAGAGCTCCCAGCCCAGACGAACAAGAGCACAAACGGTCACAGGCATTGAGGACACCATGGTAATATCCACATGTTGTACATTTGTGCTCTCCTGTGTTCTTGGTTCTTCTCCTTCTTTCTTTTATTTATTTAGTGTTTGTGTTTATTGAGATGTGATTAAGTATATTCATTATTATTAATATAATTACATTTTTATTACTTTTGATAATTTAATTTATATTTATAAATTCATAATTTGTTTTAATTAAATTTATCCATTTTTATTAGGAGTGTTCTTTATAGATGGCACCTCTCATTTCACTTTTTTCATTTTACAACAGTTCTTTAATGTGGTATTGATGTAAGATATTGTGAGTTAATTAATTAATTAATTAATTTTCCCTTTATTAAGATAATTAAAAGTATTAATTATTGTTATTTGAAATTAATTTAATTAATTTATTATTATTAATTGTATTATAACATATGAATATAATGTAATTTAATTTATTATTATGTTATTAATTTAAATTTATAAATATACTTTTTTAAATAATTGAAATGAACCATTTTTTATTAGGAGCTATCTTTATTGGTGGCACATCTCATTTCATAAATATTTCTCTCTTTTATTTTATACAGATTTTTGAGTGCGTGTATGACTATAAATTTAAAGACTGTGAGGGATCGGTTTACACCCCAGCATGTCCATCTTCACCTTACATATAAATTCACCCAGACATATTTATCGGATGCATTTCAAATGTGTCCATAATACTACATGTCACCTTGTGTGGAGTGTGTTTTGGACGTTGTGTTGCTTAGGTGTTCTTATGTGTTTGTGAAAATGTGTCAGTGTTCTGGTTTTAAGTGTACAATATTCCCACACTCATCATATTGAATGTCATATCAGTTAACAAGGCTTGCCATACAGAAATGGCCCTGATATAAAATCTAAACCGATTCATTTATTGTAGCAGAACTGACTGATACAGATTTTAATATCACAGAGTTTTGTAAATATGCAAACTTTTCATTTCACTTTGATCAGTTTCCATCGGCCTCCTACGCCTTGACCACACCAGGCCTTCCGCCAGGCTGGGAGGAACGCAAAGACCCCAAGGGACGAACATACTTCGTCAACCACAACAACCGTAGCACCACCTGGACTCGGCCCATTCTGCAGGTACAGTATTCTAGCATAGCCTTGCTAAAGCTAACGGAGGTCTGTTTTTCATCCAAGCGTCTTCCATGACTCTTCTCTACGTTCCTTCTTTATTGGCCCATGTGTTTTTTACTACTGCGTCAGTGTCATTTTCTTTCCGTTGTTCTGCCTTTATCGGTTTGCTTCCATGTTCTTGTGTTCTTGTCCCATCACAATGTCTGTTATTTGTTTTCTGTCGTGTTTTTTCTTGATCTATTTATTGCCACTCTGGTTCCTCTTGATCTATATCTCATCTTTCTGGTCCTTGTGGTAGTAAACTCTCTATTCTTCATCCTTCGTATGATTCTCTCCATTTCTTTCTTTCTTTTTTTTATAACAGACCACATAAAAAGGCTTATTTATCTGATCTCCAATCTTTTAACATTCTTAAAATATTCTGTAGTCATTTATAAACCAGACAGACCTTTGTCCCCACAATCAAATTAAACCTTACAATTATTGATCAGTTTAATACGCCTTCATTTCCTACAGTATTATATACATGGTGCATTCAGGACCTCTTTTAAACCATGAATGCAGTCTGACTAGGGTCAGTGTTGGATGGCGTACCCTTGGACAAGACGGTGTGGTGACTAGCTAGCTCATCCTTTTCTTTGACCAGCAGCACACTGAAGATGGAGCCAGTACCTCAGCTGCGGCAGCAGGGGGCGCTACAGCAGCCATAACCCCCGCTTCCACCCCTTCCTCCTCCAGAGGCCATCTAAGCGAACCACAAGTGTGCAGACCCCGTAGCCTCAGTTCCCCCACCGTCACTCTCTCTTCCCCACTAGAGGTGAGAATATCCACCTTTCCCTCTATTTCGTCCCCTAACTTCTTTCTTTCCATTTACTTTGCCCCTCCAACTGATTCCAGTCCATCTATTAAAGGGATAGTTCACCCAAAAATGGAAAATCTATCATCATTTACTCACCCTCCACTTGCTCCAAAACTGTACGAGTTTCTTTCTTCTGTTGAACACAAAAGAAGACATTTTGAAGAATGCTGGTAAGCAAACAGTTGACGGTAACCATTGAATTCCATAGTATTTTTTCCATACCATGGAAGTCAATGGCTACCAGCAACTGTCTGGTTACCAACATTCTTCAAAATGTCGTCTTTTGTGTAACTTAATAACTGAATTATCCTTCTTCTTATGATGACAGTTAACCGTTTGATTCTTCTCAAACAGTCTTGGTTGTTATTAACCAGTATTTTGTTTAATTTCTTTGTATTTTTATACAGTGTTTCTGACAAGTGTTACAGATTTTTTTTTTAATCTATATTATCAGTGTTGGGGAGTAACTAGTTACATGTAACGGCGTTACGTAATTTAATTACAAAATAAATGTAACTGTAATCAGTTATATTACATTTTAAATAGGGTAACTTGTAATCTGTAACCCATTACATTTCCAAAGTAACCTTCCCAACACTGTATATTATTTATACTACTGCTCAAAAGTTTGGGGTCTGTAAAGTTTTTTTTTCGTTTGATTGTTTTTGAAAGTAGTCTCTTATGATCACCAAGGCTGTATTTACACTAAAAACAGTAATTTTGTTTAGCATTATTATGATTTAAAATACTATACTATTATTATGATTCAAAAAAACTGTTCTCTATTTTAATATTTTAAAATGTAATGAATTCCTGTGATCAAAGCTGAATTTTCAGCAGTCTTCAGTTTCACATGATCCTTCTGAAATCTTCTGTTAACATTTTATAGATAATAATAGATATTAGAATTTCAGATCTTATATAGATTATAAATATTCTACACATAATATTAAATATTTATAATATGTTAACATTATAAAGGTTTTTACTTCATCAAGTTATACTATGTTTGCTGATTAAGTGTTAATTTCTTGGGGGAAAAGTTAACTGTTAAAAAAAAAAGTTAATATATATTAACATTGTTTTCTTTCTTTTTTTGACATTTGTACTTACCATATTTTGCTTTGTTTGTTTTCCCCTGCAAATTAGTGACAACAGTGCCAGTCTTTGTTTTCCTCATATTTTCAATGTGTTGACTTGATGTGAGGAATTTTTATTATATGTGATGACACGTGCAGTTCTGAAGAAAAAAAGATTGCTTCTAGATAAACCTCTGAGGTAATAGTTTTTTGCGCAAAGCTCAAGTTTCCTCCAGTTTGAGTGTCTTTGATTTGAATCGTGTCATTTACATAAGTGAGATTCAGTTTATCATTCGTGCAATTGACAAAGCCAGTTTTTCATCACATTTGGTGCTAGACAAGTGTAAATTTTAAACCGGGTTTCACACCTGTTTTGTTTCCATTGTGACAGTGCAGTGTAATATAATCACAATATCCACACACAGTTGGTCGAACTAGGAAATTAGAATCCCATTCTATGCACACTGCCACTGGCTTTTTTTAGGTATGAACAGCTGAGGCAAATGATTGGTTGTAGCCCTTGTATTATGCATGGATCAGTTTTAATATGAAAGTCTGATTTCCCAAAAACCAATTCAGTCAAGTGACCCATCTGCTCCAGACCTTTCAGTTCAAGTTAATTGAACTCACTTCGATTCACAGTAAAAGAAAAAAAAAATCCTGTTATTTCCGCTTTGTGCTGCTCAGTCATTATTTTGTTCTCTTGCAGCTGCCAGCAAACTTGTTTTTGTTTTATAAAGCGTTTTGATAGAAAATGTCCAAACAGCCATACGTTCTTGAAAATACCTACAGATTTTTGCAATACCCAAAGGGTTTTTGTTAAATTCATTTTTTTAGTATTTCACAGTTACAGTATGACCAACAATTAATTAAATGATCATCTACTACCCAGATATCAATATACAATTTTTTTTTGTGCACATTATGGCATTATGAGATCCGGTATTTTTGCTTAATGACTGTTAAAATGTATATTTGCTTACTTGGTCAGGCAAGTTCCTACATAGCGGTGCTAGTTTTGTCTCTCATATCACTCCATGGTCATTTTGTCTCACAAAATGAAATGATTTCTACCATGCAATATTTAAATAGTTTAGTTAGATTTTCAATCTTAAGAATTTAAAGGCGTACCACTAATTTTGTCTTACTTTTTGGAGAAAAAAAATTAATTTCACAAAAAAAAAAAAATGTGAAAAAAAAATTGCACTTTTTTTTTGTTCATTTTATTTAAATGAAATGATAGGTTTTTGTAAATTTTTAATAAAGAGAATTAAAAGTAAAGAAATTTTTCCACAGCCCAATTTGCGTATATTTTTGCCATGGGTTTCGTCAATCTTTTTGTTTTTCTTCAAATAGGGGTGCACATAATGGGAATAGTATATACTGTCAGCATGTCAATTTTGTATTTTTCATTTGTTTTATAAATTTATTCAAGATAAGATGAGACTTTGACGATACAAAAAAAAAAAAAACTTCTTGATGTACTGTATTTGTAATCATCCCACAGACTTTCAGAAGTTTAGACCTTATTTGTTATGTTGAAATCTTCTCAAAGTTGAATTGAGCAGCTGTTGTATGAAGTTTTAATATGCTCATCAACATTTACATGTGCATGGAGGGAACAGGGCTTCTACCCCCACTTTGTACATTCGTATCAGTTGACGCCTCCTAAAATTTGGGTTGGGGCAGCTGTCCGTTTGCTTATCGTGAAACGTGCCAAAGTGTCACCATTGCCAAAAAGTAGTTTAACCTCTCAAACAGCCATGACTTCATAGTTTCCTTCTGTTCTCTTGCTCTAAATCCATGTCAGATCTTAAACCTACTTCTTATTTTGATTTTATAGTATATTGTTCTGAAATATATCCGTATATACCTACTAAATTTTTCCCATAACATGCTTTCGATTAATGTTATGACATGATTTTATTTTATTTATTATTATTATTTTTATATATTATGTTATTTATTTGTGATGCTTTAGACTTGTGTAAGTACTGTTTTTACTGTTTGTTTTTATAAATGTATCGCAAATTCTTTCCAGTGGTAATCGACAACAGGCCACATATGGTGTTTATAGAGCTCAAATTGTAATTTAATCCAGAATATTCCTTTGAAAATGGCAAACAATTTTATCTGCGATGTCTGACCTCAGCCAGAGCTAATGGCCTCCGCTGTGAAGAATGACTTTGCTAATGGAATAAACAATAGCTCTTGTGGCTAATCTGCAGATGTTGGGGAATAAATGTCTTGTGTTCTCTCTCATAGCAATAATTGCTAATTACAGCCACACACTTCTGTGTAAAAAACCTAGTAGCTAACAAAAAATGCATGGCGCTGTCTGGTGTGGTATTGATTAAAATCCGTCTTCTGTCCTTCTTGATTCTTTCTGTCATAGCTTGAGCTCGATATTTTAAACAGAACTATGGCTTCAGCCATCGAAGCATCACTCGCCACTTGAAATATTTTGCTGATAGTGTCACAGAAAGGTGATGACGGAAGGGTTTATGAGGTTGCTATAGAGGAAGCTAGTAGTGAAATAAAAAGAAAGAGATATCTTGTATCTGATCTTAGTACAGGGAAAACCATTCTTGACGATTGCTTGCATAAGAAGAGGGTTTTCTCTCAGTTATGCATTTGACATTGTATCGTACAGCTTGATATATAGTGACAGATCCTCACAGGACCAACAGACAATTTGTTTTGATTTTCTTGTATGACACATCATAAAATGGTAGTATAAGTAGTTTGAATATTTAAAAATAATACTGTTAAAACTTTTGGATTTTTAATATAATATGTAATAAAAATAATATTCCTATATTTATTATTAATGATAATATAATATTTTATTATAATTTATGATGCTGTAGATTAGTGGTTTTGGATTTGATTTTTTTATAGAATAGAATTATATATTTTATCTAGTATTATTTATAAAAATGTAATAATATTCCTCTTTATTATCAATTATAATATAATATTTAAGATTTTATAGTATTGTTTGTAATGCTGTAGACTTGTGGTTTTGCATTTGTAATATATTTGTAATATAATATAATATATTAATTTGACTAATATTCCTCTACTCTTTATGTTAATAGAATATTGAATATATAATAGTATTTATGATACTGTAAACTTGTGGAACTGACGTTTTTACTGTTTGCTTTTACAAATTAAAAAACAAAAAAAATTATTTCTTAAAGACACAATATGTAAGATTTTTTTATTAAAATATCCAAAAACCACTAGAACAGTGTTATATGTTTTGCCGACTTGTGTACTTACATTATCCCAAATGTTTCGAAGAATGTTTAAATTATTTCACTAGTGACACGGACCGTTTCCATAGTGTCATTGTGTCGCCTGCTAATGACGTCACAACCCCTCGATTTCTAGAAAACATGGAAACACCAAAGACGCTTTAATATGTTGTGAGTTTTATTAGACCGCTGACGACCGCACAGAGTAGCATTATAACAGAACTTTCAAATGAAGACCACAACTCCCATGATTCCACACTCAGTCACAGCATCATCAAACTATGCCTTTGCTTCTTTGTTTATTTTGAATACGTGCCCTCTAGCGGCAAAAATTACACATTGTGCCTTTAAGTATAAAGTTTGTAAAACACTAAATAATATGGCTAAAATTATTCACAAAAGTTTGACTGTTAATTTAGGAGCTGGATTATTTGCTGAGAAGTATATGAGGAAGAATAAAATGAAGGATGAGCAAGTAATGTAAAAATATTGAATAAATATTGGTAACACTTTATAATAAATTTCATTTATAAATCATTGACAAACATTATATAATGCTTAACAGATCATTGGTTAGTATACTCCCATAGCTAGAAATATGAGATAATGTTCTTATTCATGTTTACTAATGAACCTAATGATTAACATATGATTATTGAATGTAAATTGAAATGCTTACAAATGTCAGTAAACTTTCAGTTCATATGACCTTCATTCGTTGGTGTTTATTTGTTGTGTAGACCTCTATTTACACATCTTAATAAATAATGTATTCATTATTTGTTCATGTTTTTGCAGTACCCAATCTAAAGTGGAAACTATTCATTATTTGCGAATGTTTATAAATGTTTACTAATCATTAATACCTTTATGAGCAGTCATCTCAATGGCAAAAAGCGTCCCGAAAGACCTGAATTTACCCTATTCACACATCTTTATTAATCATTTATTAATAATTTGTTTGTTTTTGCAGTAGCCAATCTAAAGTGGCAACCATTCATCATTTGTAAATGTTTCTAAACGATTATTAATCATTTAGTATCTTTATGGCCATTGGATTTTTAGCTGCTGTAACATGGTTTGTGTAAAGGGTGGCTGGTTAAGTTTAGCTAAATGTTTACTAAAGACATAACAGATTGTAATTTTGGTGCAAAAAATGTTTTTATTGCCTCGACACTCACATTAGTGTACTACTCTTCAGTTTATCATTAAATAGGATATTCCTTGAATCATAAATAAACAATTATCATACTTATAGTATTCAAATTGACCCCTTTACACTACCCTTAAACCTTTAACCAACCCTTAAACCTACACAAACCTGTCCCTAACCTTACCCATATCACACCTCAGTAGCAGCAAAAGCGTTGTGCAGTAACAAGCTTTTAATCATATTATAACATCTGTTAAAATCATTTGTAGATTTTCAATAAGTGCTTGATCGTACGGAATTGAAAGTTTTATAACATTTGTAAGCATTTTAACTTCCATGAAATAATGATGAAGGTTTACATAAAGAAATACTGGGTTGTATTTATAAATGATCAGGGTCGCACAGGGCCATGTGACTTTTAATTAAAGTGTAGAAAGGGAAACATTTGTTTTTGGGAAAGAAAAAAAAAAGAGAGAGAAAGACGGCCAGAGGTGAAATCCTCCTGAGTTGTGTGATCTAATTAAAATTTTATCAGGATTAAATAACAGCATGCCGCCTCATTAACACGTACTGCGTTTTCCAAATCTTTTCAATTTTTTACATTTCCCATTCTTAAAAGTCTTTCTTACACAAAATTCAAATTACAAACAAGAGCTATAAAACTAAATAATAGAGTCCGACAAACAGGGAAATAATTAACATTGGCTCTGTTTCCTTTTGCAGGGAGCCAATAACGCCCAGATACGGCGAGCAGTAAAGGACACATTTTCCAACCCTCAGTCCCCGCAGCCCTCTCCCTACAGCTCACCCAAATCCCAACATAAAGCAAACCAGAGCTTCCTGCTCCCTGGATGGGAAATGAGAATAGCACCCAATGGACGGCCGTTCTTCATCGACCACAACAGCAGAAGCACCACATGGGTAAGACAAACACTCACGAAATCTCTTCCAAACCTAGTGAAGTTCATGGTGAGGGCAATCCCAGAATGCTTTGTAATGACCTTTCAGGAAAAAAATGCAAGATGGCCGTGAGTGAAAAAGATGAAATGTTCACTATAAATTATTTATATATAGCTTTACCTAATTAAAAATCAGGCTTATTAGCATGGTAATGGCAGACTCTGTTGTAATCATAATAGTTATAAGTGTACTGTTTTGAGATGCTGGAGCATGGCAGCTTTTTAGGTTTTGGAACAGTGCTGCAGTTCCATTTGCTGACATAACTGGTTTATATGCAGCTGCTATCATTAAGCATTTGTTTACTACGATACAAATACCGTCAGCAGTTTGACCTGGAGCTTGACTGGTTGGCTTCACCTGCACTGTCTGCTCTCAGCTGCAGAGTGTTCAGAGAATATTTTATTTTATTATGCATAATGAATGAATGAATATTATAATATTCATGGTGCGATTTTTATTGTTGTAGTCTAATGATTATTTGTATTGCTTAATGGTATAATTACTTTAAATTGTGTATAAACATTATTATATATATATACTCAAATGTGTCTCCAATTAGGGTTGTTAAAATAACTCTTTTTACTTGAAATAAAATAAAAAATAAAATAAACATATAAAAAATTATATTTATATAAAAAAATATAAAACTAAATCAATAATAAATGAGAATAGCTTTGGCAACTAGCTGAAATCAAATATGTGTGTTGAAGTACTAAAATAAAGCTTAACTAGTTAGTTACTACTTGGCAAAGTCTATGTTGTACTCTACCATTACAATTTAAAACTAGCTAGAGTTTTTCACCTGTTAAACAAAATTAAAAGACCCTCTCATCTTACGATGTTTTCCGTCAGTTCATCCTCACATGCTGATGTCAAAACCTAAACATATAAAAAATTATATTTATATAAAAAAATATAAAACTAAATCAATAATAAATGAGAATAGCTTTGGCAACTAGCTGAAATCAAATATGTGTGTTGAAGTACTAAAATAAAGCTTAACTAGTTAGTTACTAACTTATATATATATATATATATATACATACTACACTTAAAACTAAACTAAAATATAAATAAAAACAGAAAATATAAAAAAAATTCAAACCATTACCAAAAACTATGATAGTATATCAGTTATACTAAAATAATGCTGTCTCCAATGCAAACTTCTAATTTATTAAAATAATAATAATAAAAATAATCAGTAATAATAATACATTTAGTGGTTGCCATTTTCTCAAATGTTTACAAGTAAGATCTGATATTTTAAATGTTTCTCTTTTGCCTACGTTAAGATGCGTGAAAGGTATTTGAGGAAAAAAGACTTTCACAGATACGCACACACCAACACACACAGTCTTGCTCATAATTGCACACTTCAGTGCCCCATAGCTGGAGGGAGGCCCTGGGTGATGCAGACGTGAAACGCTGAGAATCAGTGTGCCACCTGGTGTCTGATAGTGGAACTGCAGCATCTCTCCTGTGCCCTAATTTCCCCCAGCACAGACTCGCCTTAGAGAGAGTATAGGGTCCTATATGATGAATCATCCCACCTTTCACTTAAAATGACCTATCAACTGTAAGTTATTTACCTATTGTTTAGAAACATACACAAAATTAATGCATATCTATGTATGTACGGTGAAATGTGTGACTTTAAGTGTAATAGTTAGAAAAGTTTGAAGTGTAATATTTGTATAGGTAACAGAAAAACACAACTAGGCTACTCACTTTTCAAACAGGTGTCCAAACAGGTGTCCATTTATGGTAGGAGGAGGGGGGGTTTATGAGGGGCAATAAATCAAACTTTTTGTCATATAGGACCCTATACTCTCTCTCGCCTTTGTCCGTTTCTGTCTCAAATGTTTAGAATCATCTTTTGAGGTTGTTTGTAATTGGACAGGTTTACGATGAAAACAAATTGATTTTCTCTTCTTTGCACGATTGCTTATAATAGTACGTTAATAGTACTTATAGCAAAGTATGTCTTCATTAAATCCTGCATGTGGTTTTGAAATGTCCACAGAGAAGACTAAAAAGTTCACCATGTGTAATTACTGCATAATCTCCCCATGAGACGAAAAAGAAACACAATCATTCCAGTATTACTTCCTTATTGTCAGAAGAACTGCATTTTGACAGCAGACAGCAAATGCAATTTACTGCTAAATGAGGATAAAGCCTTCTGGGAAAATTTGAGCATGTCTCAACCTCTCTCTCTCTTTCTCTTTTTCTCTTTTCAGGAAGATCCTCGCTTAAAGTATCCCGTTCACATGAGGACAAAAGCATCCCTGGACCCTGGCGACCTCGGCCCACTTCCTGTGAGTATAAACCGAGTGGTGCTGAGCAATATTACCCACAATCCCAGCTCTTTCAACAGCCTTGTGTGACATGTGTCCTTGTGTTGTGACACAGCGATGTCATACGAGAATCGTGAAACGAATTCAATCTGCAAAGCAAAAAATAGGATTAAGTCTGACAACTGAATGGGAAAACCGTAACTAATAACACAACAGCAGGAATTTGGCTGTGGTGTTTTGTGGATTTCTTTGTTGATTAACTATGTCCTCAAGCTGTTTTGTAAAAGAGCAATGCTACAAAAATTTGACAGTGGATTAGCTCAGCTGAGATCTTTTTATATACCTATAATGAAATTTGTCCAAGAACAGTAATAAAATCTAGTCCAAAATGAACAATTGATAAGAGCCAAAATTGCCTTTGGCAAGTAAATGCAATGCTCGCTGGTTGGCTGGTAACTTTATAAGGAAATGCAACACAATACAATTTACAATAACAGCAATATGCAGGATTGTATCCAGATATAAAAGGATTTTGCTAAAGAAAAGCTGTTGTAACTTGTGTAGCAAAGTTTATCTGTGTATTAACAGTGTTCTTTTTTTTCCCTACGGAACTCCATGTGGCAATACGTGAAATGTACTCAATTTAAATGGAAATAGGAGAAGCGAATGACGTTTTGTGTTGTCACCTCATTTCACTTCAGAGTCTGGCTTATCACAAGAACCTCACAAGGGTGCAAAAATATTCTAAATATTCCCATATTCTAAATAATAAATAATCCTGTTTATATATAGACAAAAATATGTTTTAAAGTAATATATATATATATTTATGAGCAGTAAATAAGTCAAATTAAAATACATTTTTGAACCCAAGGAATAATGCATCCCTGGTGATGCTGTAGCACAAATGATCTCCAGTGAGCACAAGCTTTTTATCGTTTTAGATGTGTTTGAGAACAGTTTGGCTTTTGACTCATCTTTTAGCAAGAGTTGTTGCAGTATGCATCTCATACAGTATGATGTTACTGAGTACTGTAATGAGTTTTTTTTCCACCTAGGAGAGATACTTAGATGCCAGTGTTTGGTAATCACACCTTCTCTTCTCAGGTTTTCAGTGGAAATACGTGCCAGCAAACAGGGACTAATCTAATAAACATCTATTTTCGTGCTTGTTTTCATGTAATGTTGAAAATGCCATGCAAGTAAATTTAAAAGTACATATGCAAATATATGCATTTCTGTGACTTCAAAACATTGATTTTTTTATTACACACTCTTATATCAAATGTCTAAGAATTTTAGTACTTTAACTTGTTTCAATTAGTTGCCAAAGCAACATCACTAATTTTCGTTTGTTTATAATCTAATATTTATATTTTATTTTATTTTATTTAATCTTTATTTAAATTGATATTAGTAGTTTTAGTTAACAGTAACAACTGGTACATTCACACATTTTGTATATGATTTTTCTTCTTTTTAAAAACTCTGTATAAATGATTCCCACTGCATTGACTGTAGCTCTGTCTCACAAGCTGGTGGTGTGTGTGTGTGTGTGATTTCTCTTTTGGTGGCATGGGGGAACATGGTGCACTCTGCGCTCGATGCTGTTTGTGACAGAATCTTCCAGAGGAGGTCGGTCCTCTCTCTGCCTGCGTGTTTAACTGCCTGCCCACCAGCCTGTCCTCCCTCTCCACCGTTCTTATCATTGCTGGCATGGATGACTGTCCCTCTTTTTCCCTTTCTGTTTCACTCCTGCTTTCACTCTTACTGTCAGACTTTGTCAGTCTTTTTTTTCTTGTTCTGATTTCTTTTTTTGGTTCAATATTGACTGCCCACTTTTCAGCAGTCTTCATTCCAGAAGTATTTTTCCCATTCATTTTCTTCATAGGGATATCAGAATATTACGTTTTAAGCTTTAACCCTTTAACTGTCACCCGTCCCCTCTGTGGGACTGGTAGAAGTTTACTTCTATATTACTATATTCTATACTGTATTACTATATTACAGTTAAATCCTAATCTAATCATGACAAACTATATATCGTTGGAAAGGTCTAAGACTCCTAAATAGATATTTTACCAATGTTTTTGTTAAAAATTATGTAGGAAAAGTAATAGATTAATTTTTGACAAGTGCACCTCAAAAATCTACATCGTAACAGGAGTTCTGACCTTTGTCAAAAAAAAGTCTTCTTTGTTTCCTTTTTCTCTATCACACTTTAGAAATCATCAGAAATTATATATCAGTTGAAAACTTTAAATCTCAAAATTCATCCTTTGAAACCCATTTTAAAATCAAACATTGTATTACCATGAAAATGGTACATCAATATCATGTTACAAAATCGTTCATGAATTATAAAAATTTAAGTTTGGATCGTGCACTTTCATGTCTATGTTCAAAAATGTGAGTGACAGTTAAGGGGTTAAACCAAACCAACAAGATAAATCATAACATCGGTTGGGTTCAAAATCAAAAAATATTTGATAATCAGGAAAAAGAGGTAAAAAAAAAAAAACGTGCACCTATGAGGAAATTAATGAACTGTTCTCATGAATCAATGTAAATAATTCAAGTAATCTGTGTTTTGTGTCCTTTTAAATTATTGTATTGTCATTATCTTTTATGGTCTAGTGCTACATTAATTAAAATGGCAAATAGCTAATGTTATGTAGTTTTATGCTAGCCTGACTGATTGCCCATTTCTGTGGTAATTTGTGGTTAATATAGTACATTAAAATCAGTGATTCTCAGCTGGTACCAGTGGCCGAATGTAGTACCTACCAGAGCATGTGAGCGGAGCGGAGTGTGAGCGGAGCGGGGAGCGGACCTAAGCTAACACACAGCTGTATATAGGCCTAAATGCAGAACTACAGAGTACAGAAGATATTAGCCTACACCACTTAGGCCTATTAAAATATTATTTAAAAAAAAAAAACTGACCCGAAACAATAGGTAGTCCTTCAGAATGTAGGCTAGATATAGGCAGCAGTAATTTATAATCTAATATAATGCACGCAAATTTGTTCTTTACAGAACGGAGCGGGATCTGAGCGGGAATTGGTTTATGGTGAGCGTGAGCGGAATATTAACGGAGCGCTTGCTTGGGCGGTTAGAGCGACTGTCCATAGAGCGGAAAATGTAGCGGAGCGTCACACCGCTCCGCTTCGCTCACATGCTCTGGTACCTACCTATTTTATTTTATTTTATTTTATTTTAGAAATTATACTGTTTGATTAGGAGAAATTACAGGTTTGTAAATGCATAAACAGCAAGAAAAGTCTCATTTATCTGCCTAACACATGGATTAATAACTAGGCCAAATGCTGAATAAGTGGCAGAATGATTTTCAACAAAATATAGGGTTTTGGGTTGTGACCCACCAAAAATTACAACAGACTGAAATATTTACATAAGCATATATCATTACTTTACAATTGCAGAACTCTTGGTAGGTGTGTGTTTTAAAAGATACACATCAGTGCAACCCTAAACTGGATTTTTACTTCCAGAACCCATCTTTTGAGCTCTGTTTGTCCTGTCTGTCTCCATCTTTCTCTCTTTATATTTCCCTCTGCACGTATCTCGTATCTGGTTGTGTTGATTATCATTTATCCATCCGTCATCCTTCCTCTTCTCTGCATCCTCCACCTCTGCACAGTGTGCATCCTGTGCTTCATTCGATGCCAGTTTTGGTTGATGCTCATTCAGCACGTGAGCTTGTCTTCAGTGCTGGCCCAGAGTCTCTCATTCGTAAACGAAGGTCTTGTCCCCTCTCCGGATCCCATGTGTGGGTCATTAAACAGCTTCCCTTGATGTCGTGGGTTATGAATTGTTGGCCTGTTTGGATATGTATCCCTGGCTGTGATTTTTGTCAGGCCTGGCGGTTTCTTGTGATGTTGGTATCAACGTGGGTTTGCAGCTCTCGGGGGTCTCCGCTCTCAAAAGAGG